AGAGAGAGAGAGAGAGAGAGAGATAACGGCTTCAATTTTTGTACATGAATAGAATATTATTAAAAAATGTTTGGTATGAATTTGGTGAGGATCGGTGAAAAAGTTAATTTTTTATAAAATTTTGAATTTTTTGAGAAATGTTTGCGCACGTTCTAACTTTCGCAAATTTTGAGATAACGGGTTAAATTTTTGTACATGAATAGAATATTATTAAAAAATGTTTGGTATGAATTTGGTGAGGATCGGTGAAAAAGTTAATTTTTTATAAAATTTTGAATTTTTTGAGAAATGTTTGCGCACGTTCTAACTTTCGCAAATTTTGAGATAACGGGTTAAATTTTTGTACATGAATAGAGTATTATTAAAGGATGGTTGGTATTGAATTTAGTGAGGATCGGTGAAAGAATTAATTTTTTATAAAATTTTGAACTTTTTGGGAAATGTCTGTACACGTCCTAATTTTCGCAAATTTTCAGATATCTTCCTCTATGAGAAAGCCAAAATTAAAAAAAAACCCGCTTGTTTTAAGGAGCTTAAGCTTTGTGAGCGAAATAAAATGATGAGGAAGCAATGTGCAAGTTTCTAATTTGCACAATTTTCAGCTTGTTTCAAGATACTTCACGAAACATTAGAACACTCTTATGACGACGATATGCAATATAATGTACTGGACACAAGAAGATGAGCATGCAATCAGGAAAACTTTTCTATGATACTGCATTTCTCCGCATAATTTAATTGCCGCTTGAAGCAAAACAAAGTTCAAATGTCCCTCGTTCTGTTTCCTCGAATGGAGGAAAGGCTGTCAATAGTTTTTTTCAATAGGTTTTATATGTACAGCTCGTAAGAACGTCTTTACATAACGATAATACTACGTATGATTTCTTGAAAACAAAGCACTTATATGGCATGTATTTAGAAGGAAAACGAATATCGTGGCGTATTAGAGTTTTTGTCGCTTGCAAAAAGCAAATTGATCATTTAACGGATGTTTACATGAACGGAGAAAGAACGGTAAGCCGTGCTGGCGTGTCAAAATAGGGAAAGTGCATACTCAGATGGGTTAATTACTGGGTATAAACTGCTTGCGTAATGTGGGGATGAATGAACGTGACGTGGTTGTTGCCTATCTCTTGGATCGCAAACTTTTTTATACCTTCACTTTCTTTCTGTCTTTATCCTTTCCGTTTCCTCTCGCGTATCATATTATTTTTCAGCGATGCTGATAACCGTCAATATAAATAATAATTCAATTTGGCACGTTTCAATCATCAATTTCCATTTTCATTATATTTATAATATTCATATTGTTAATTTTTTATAAGCTTTATAAACATTTTTTGTATAATCATAAATTATGAATAAAGCAATTTATTTATTTAATAAACAATGTTATATATTTTCGTTTAATTTTATTTTATATGAGCGAGATTTAATACGATATATAAAGCTTATAAAAATCTGTCGATATAAAAGAATCGAAGATGATTGAAAATGCAGAAAAATTCTTTCTCCCGGTGTATATATTCTCTCTTTTAATTCTGATAATAAATTTTTCCATTAAATACGTATATACAATCGCATTAACATTTTATTCCTCTGCGAAACTTGTCAGTGAAGAGAAATCTAAAGATATAAATAAACACATTTTACTCTTAGAACAGCCTGCTGTAAGAAATAACCATGTTACGATGTACGTTACGCTTGTTGATCGCAAGCACGCTGCATAACGATGTGATACTTTGTCGGTTTAATTGCCATTATCGTCCATTGATAAACAATTCGTTTTTCATTTGCATCGCAATGAGTCTCTTTATCAATCGCGAATCAATTCGTTTAAACGACGTGGACATTCACGTTTTACGATGATAGAGAATGGCACTTGAAGTGTCGCTTAAACATCCGCTTCGATAGGAAATCTGTCGGACTATCGCTGACAGTTGAAAAACTTATGGCTTTGCGGTTTGAATTTCTATATTCCTGTCTACATTGTGGGGAGACACACTTGGACAAAATTTACGGTGGAGTTTGTGGTATTTGCTTCATGTTTATTTCCATTAAGGAAATAGCTGAATCTTTAAACGATCGTTTGACTAAGTAAGAATTTTTCTCTATACTAATCTCGGTTTTTAATTATAAGAAATGTCAGAATTGTTAGAAAGCTATAGATTATTTGTAATACCAGCATCGGATGTTGTATAAAGAATTTCGCAAATGTTAAAGAAAATAATAACAATTATTTAACACACATCATTTTTTGTAATAAGTTATATAGAGGTAAATAGGGTAAAACTGGGTACCTTTTTGGATTTGTCTTCCTACAAAAAATTTGAGATTAAAAAAAATTTTGCCGACCGTTGGTAGTCTTTAGTGAACCTTAAACTATGAAAAAATAAGGCTAGTTGCTGAAAAAAAAATTTTTGGTTACCAAGAATAACAAGAATTTCTGGAGAAGTCAAAGTACTCGGTTTTGTCCTACCGGTAGGGTCAAACCGGGTACCCATTTGAAAATATGCAAAACATCGTGTAATTACAAAATCTAGATTTATTTTAATCAAAATACAATATAAAGATGTATTCTATTGACCAAAATCACAAATAAATATATCCTCTTGTTCGACATTGCTGCAGGACTTCCTTATTTAACTTTTTAACTTTAGGGGTCTCAAAAAGCTTTTTTTTAGTGGTTTCTTTTTTTGAGCGTTAGTTTTCGTTTTCAACTGTTTTTTGTAGGATACTGACAAAGTCAGGATAACACTTCTTTCTCTTTTCATTATATGAGATGTGTAA